TTATCTCAAACATATCCCCCAAAATAGTTAAAAATTGTATTTTGGGTGTTTATTATACTCTCAAGAATGGGTTAAGTAGAAAGAGACATGCTACAAATGATGCTGATTATACAAATTATAGTATTTATAAATGTACATGCTAAATAGATAGTATAGAGCCGTTAACAATGTCTGAAGTTTTAGTTAAAGGTGGTAATTTCCTATAGAAGAAATGTCTACTGTCTTAATTATCTTACTAGTACTAACTCTACAGGATTGTGAATATGGCAACCAATTGTATTGTGTCATAGGATTTTAAATGTGTAGGTTGTTTTTCCTGTTTTGCAAGCATGCAGTATTTCCTATATTAATTTATGCATAACTGCTTATGAGTATAAACCTAATTAAATAACAGGTATTTAACTGGCATTCCTTTATCTTTACTTCACAGTATACAATTTGCTTCTAAATTGTTATTTTTTTATATCACCACAAAAGTCTGCTATGTATTACTCTGTCCTCTGGCTTATGTTTTAGCTGGATCTTAATAAGAAGCTTCACTTTTTTTTTTTGGACTTTTTTCCTTTTCCATAGCTCCAGTGAACCTATCAAATATTTCATTATAACAAGTTCCTACCATTCTGCTTCCTCTTGACACTTATGTCAGATTCATAGTTAAAGCTGGAAGAAGTCTTTAATAACAGGACATCATTTTCCTTACCAATTCAGAAATATGAAAGCCTTCGTAACCTACTCTAAATGCTTCCCATGAGCTCTCAAGAGCAACAGCCAGAGTTTGATAGGTGTAGTGTGTACTTCCACATATGTTATATTTATAGGTCTTGTAAAGTCTTTCTTTCCTTAGAACTCCTTTCATATCATTATTCCTGGGAGTGCAATTGATCAATAAAAAGCTACTACAGAAGCTCCTGCACTGCAAAGGGTGAGGGGTGGCCACTTAGCATTTCTTAGATCATGTACCAGCTCTATGTTTTGTCCTTATTTCCAGGAATGTGCTCCATTATTATTTATGATCTTATTAATTATTTGGGATAGTGACAACATATTAAATCAACAAGTGTGGATGGTAAAGCTTACAGAACTGGTAACTTTTTGAAGTGTATATGATGCTGACAGACATGGGCCCAATGCTTATCTATGCTGTGTTGGTGAAATTATCTTTGTGTCTCACTCTTTGGTCTGACTTTCAGCATTGTCTGTAGATGAATTTTAAAATGGAGTAGGAATGGGCCTTAAGAGTTGGTGGATTTCACATATCCTCTTTGCTGCTTGTGGCTTGTTCTGCTCAGTCTTTGGTCAGGAGGAGGCTCTTTCATCCTAGTTGCCAAATAGAAAGGGAGGACACTGCAGTGAAGTGTTATGCCTGCCATAGCTAAACAAATACTAGGCAAAAACAGTGGGCAAATAGGGAGACAGAGGTGGGTACTGATAGCCAAAGGGTATGGCTGATTAAGCTGTACCTTTAAGCGTTACTGTTTGTCCCATGTCCATCTCTGAGAATAGTTATGGTGTTGTCCCCATGACCTGGTCAACTTTAGCTATGGAAGTGGTGGCAGAACTGCTGGTACGACCGAGTCCAGCTGCTGAAATAGCTCAGGACTTTCCTGGACTGCAAGTTTTTATTCTTCTGGGCAGGCGGAGGCGATGACTGTGGAAGACACCAAAAGCAGTTGAGCAAAAGGAAGGGACAGTTTTTAGTGAGGGGTGTTTATTAATAGAAAGAGATAGCATACTCCTAATTGCAACTTTGGCACTACCCAGAATAATTTTGCTTTTGCTCACAAATGAACAGTCATAAGGGTTCTGCTGAGCAGATGATGTGCTGCTGCAGAAGTAATACAAGACTGTTGGAGATTGTTTGGCTCTGAGTGGCTATTGAGAGCAAAATGCTTTATTAGTCATTGAAACAATCAGTGAAGAGATGTTGTATCTTCCAAAAAGCCTACTTTAATGAATTAATTTTCATATTTTTAATACTCCTGTTACATTAAGATTTATATGCAACTGAGTTATGGCTGTTGTGGGAAACAGCTTTAGAATTTCTTGGCATTTATGTATTTAAATTCCTTAACCATAATATTACATTAACGTAGTTGCACTGAACATTAAATTGATTTAAAAGTATTAATACTACATGCAATATATGCTCCTTAGAGTGTAAATATCATAAAGCAGTAACAAAATGCAAATTGGAAAAATATCTCCCACATTCTTGGTGTAAGTATTAACATTTTGCATTAATTCCTGATGGTTTATCATACTCATTATAGCAAGATTACTTATGTTTGTTTTTTTTTTAAATTTATTTAAGGAAGTATAAATGAGCTCTGAATCAACTTCTGGATCTTGTAGAATTAAAATACATATTTGTCTTATGCTTTTGTAGAGTGGGATGGGAGAACCCTCATAAAGCCATCCATAAAGTAGCTACCTCTAGCAATACATTTGATTTGAAATCATGAATCTTTCAGAAAAGACTACTGTGGTAAGTCTTGAGAGCAAGAACCTAGAATAGAAAAGCCCCATATCCTAGCATTTGTTTATAAGGAAAAAAATAAGTGCAGTTATAAATGCAATTAGATAAGCACATTGTTAAAAAGTTTGCATGTGAGTGATCTGTATAAGTCTAAATGAACAATGAACTTTAAATCCATTTGATGGCAGTCCCTACTGGCTGAGTATAATAAATCTGTAATTTTTGTGAGTGCATCCCTAAAAAGGCAGAAGACTACTGACCATTGCCAGTACCAGTAAAAATAACAAGCAGAGAATGCGATGTTTGCTGTCTCAAATGCTTCAAGCAGAATTAAGAAATTAATTGATCAGAAACTCTAAGCTGAATATCCTAAGGGGCTCTCCAGGCCTGCTGTGGTACTGTGGAGGTCTGGCTACTCTTCCCTGTTGTGGTAAGGATGTGACTATGGTCTTAAGCAAGGCACATCACTCCATTTACTCTTCTATGCCCCCTCCCCCCACCCCCCCAGAAGCTTTCTTCTTTGTGTTGGTGTACCGCCTTGCCCTTGTCTGGCTTGAGCCTCTAGGTGTTTTGATGCACACCATACTCAAATGCAGAATCTGCACTGTCAGAAAGATCTCTGAAAGAAAATAAAATAATGCATTTATAGCAATTATGAATTATATTTCGCTTATCTAAACCAGCAATTCACCTACCACCACTGTAGTATGTGCTTCTGACAGGAATGCAGTAACTAAATGTAATCAAAAGATCATAATTTTTGCTGAAATTTTCCATGCTAATGCACCTTTTATGCAAAACAATCACTAGATTTTTTTTTTCTAAATATGATTTCGTTATGCAGAGGCTGTTAATGGAAACATTCTATGCTGAAAACTGTTTACTGTTTGATTTTTAAAAACAGCTTCTATAACAGATCTCTTTAATGGAAATGTATTGTAAACACAAAACTGTTTACGATATACTATAAAATATTTTTATGTTGCAACACTCTAATGGAAATGTACTGTATATACTGCACTGATTATTTTCTATTAAAACACATTAAACAAAGCCTGCTTTAAACAGATATCCAGTTCATAATTTACATTAACAATTTTAGGTAGGCATTTTAAAAACAATCAACTTCATACAGCAAAATCTTTTAATATATTATTTTTTTAAAACTAACTGTTCAGTGATTTCTCATTATTTTCAACAGAAAAGTGGGGATATGAAAGTAATACTGATTAGTTTTGAAGGCAGTCATGTTAACATGTTCTCACTTGCAGGTAGGTAAAAGCATTCTCAGACTAAGGTACATTGAACTGCATCTACAGTCTTCCACCTCTAGTCTTGGATTAAGAGACTTTATTACCACTGCCCTTTCAGCCAGACAGGGCTTATATTTATACAAATTCGCATAGTAAAGGTCAACAACAGTGAAAATAACTCCATTAGGTAATAGTCTGAGCTCTTTAGAGACCCAACAAAAAAGGTTTGAGCTGGAGAGAAGTGTGTTCTCTGAGGAGAAAATATGTTAATCTGTAAGCTTCTTTTCCCAGAGAAGTACTCTGCAAATCAGTTTTGTGGCTTGCAGTTGCTCCATCGTGGACAACAGGAACTCTGTAGATCTGGCTCTGTGTTGTTTCCCTTTAATACTTGCTTGGTGACAATATTCTCATCCTCTTCATTGCAATGCCTTAACATGCTGCTGGGTGGCATTGAAGGTGCTCATGCTTAGGTCTTCCTCACTGAGACCCTGCTGGTGGAGGGACTGTTTGTTAGCTGAGGAGGTTCTAGACTGAAGAGAAAAAATATGAAAAAGAGCATCTTTTAATGAGACCTAGAAGGTCAGAGGTTGGAGACTCTTGGGTCCTTAGACACTTTCTCTGAAGAAAAAACGTTCAATCACTGAGACAACTAACCTTTATTTTTACAGTCAAGCCTGGTCTTCTCACAGGAATGGGAACTGCTAACAATGCAGTTTGCCAACTCTCTCTGTCCCCATTGGTAGTGGCTTGTAAGAGCAATTTGTTTTTGTTTGTTTGTTTTTCCCCCCCTTAAAACTCAGTTGCCCGATGTTTTAATCTTTAATCTATGTGAAACTAAATGGTTGCTTTATTTTCCCTTCTCTGTACAAGCCTTGCCTTGTGCAATCAAATAAACCTGTGAGTCTTTCTCAGGGCAGTGCAAGGTGACAGCCTGAAATACTTATGTCTGAGTCCATCAGATGGTATGTGGAGAATCACAATGCCATTTATGGGAGGAGATATATTTTATATTCTTTATTAATTTGTGAATGGATTTGTTGCATTCTGGGAAGGACCAGATCTCAAAGATTAAATATTACTATAAACCTAATTTAAAAATCAACATTCTTTAACATGTTTGGGTTTTTATAAAGTACAGCTCCAGCAAAGCAAATATATTGGGAAATACACTTTAGATCTGTTAAGCAACACACTGAAAAAGTACAAGTGTAATTAATATGGGTGAAAGAGGTAATGTCTTGACTTGCCTTTTTTTTTTTTTTTTTCTTCAGTACCCAGATTTTACATTACTGTATGGAAAGGATAGAGCTTGGCATTTTCACTAGTACCTAAGCTGATTCCAGAAATTGCCTGATTCCAGGATTTTGCATCACATCAGGTAGAGAGATGTTATTTTAAACTTTAAGTGACTCTAAATGGACTACTACAATATGTATTATTGTTTCCTAGTGTAGAACAGTGTGTAATTGATATAACCATTTGTGTTGTGCCTGATTTTAATCTACAGGACTGGATACAATCTTGAGATTAATTTCCAGGTGGTTAGAGAAGCAGTTATATTTAACATCTTAGCTTTTCTTATAGCGAGCTTGTTTCAAGGTTTATAACTATCTTGAAGTAAATTACCTGTTGTCCTGGTTCAGGCTTTACGTGAGAGGCTGTCCATTTCATTCTTATAAACATTAGGTTATTTTTCCCTGAAAACTCCAGGAAACAAACAAACATGACCCCCCTCCCCCCAAAAAAAAAGAAAGTCTCAGCACAAGTAGCTTGTATGATGTTGCTAGCATGCATCTTTCATCCCTAGCAATAACAGTATAAGGTCTTTAACAAGAACAACTGTTGAGAAAAGGCTCCATCTTCCACAACTGGTAGTTGCTTGAGATGATTCACCATGCAAAAAGGGACAATTTTTAAAGGTGGCTTTTGTTTTGATGTAATTTTACAGTATATAATCATTCAATAACAGTCAACTATGACACTGGCAAAGAGAAAACATTTGAATGCTGAGGCTTGGCAAATTCTTGGGGTTCTCGATGGCAAATCTAAAATACTACATCTTATTGTACCTAGTAGAGCACTATGAACAGTCACTAAGAAAAACTACTTTCTGTTTGTTGTAGAGCAGATTTCTAAATGTCCATTTTCCCCTGGCAATCTTACCCAACTGAATGTGGTTCATATTTTGAATTTTGGTCTTCTCATTTGAGTTATTACATACAGTCTTAGGGAAACAAGAAATGTGGCTATGTTTTGGTGCTAAAAACAAACAAACAAACAAAAAAAAATGTATTTTTACCTGAAACATTTTGAGTTTCAGTGTAAAAATATCACTTAAATAGGGGACTGAGGGATTGGAGTTTACCCAAAGGAGCAGTATCTATCGTTCTCTGTGGATTTTAAGGAAGGTAAAATAGTTTATAGTGTCTCTTTATTCTCACTGCCTAGAGCAGCTGGGCAAAGAAAGAGGAAATGGCTTCCTCCCAGTTCTTGTCAAATAACTGATCTGCAAATTATCACTCCAAGGCATAAGTTATACAATGAGGGTATGTTCATAAATCAGGAGTAAACTTCAACATTCAGAGAAAAGGATTAAAATAAAGGTTTATTGGATTGAAACTTGATTAAATTTAATTAACAATTTTATTAAAAATCTACTTGGGTTATATGAATAAAACTAATAAATGGGGTCTGTATTATGTAATTACCAAACTCGAACATGTATGAAATATATAAACACACAACATGCATATAGAATGAATAATGCTCAGTAAATGAACATGTATCCAATATTTCTAGATATCTTTTGTTTAAAGGAGTCTGATTCGATAGCCAGTGTAAGATGTAAAGGAAACAAGGAAGTTCTTGCAACAAATACAGCTTGTGAAAATGAAATCTCTCTTCTTCAGTATCATGCAGAAGCTATTCAACATGTTATGCTAACATACTCTTTGACAGGAAATAACCAATTTCTTGAACTTGCAATTGCTTGGTTGAATGAATTTAACAAAACGTTACAGTACAGAAAATCTAGTCATTTGATTGTATTTTCTGTTGTACAGTGAAGAAACAGAGCACAGCCTAACACAATACTTAAACGTTTATAAGCTGAAAGATATTTCAGTTACATCTGATTAGAAGTTAATATCTTAAGCGATCTATCATTATCAGTATTAAATGTATTATCCCAACTGAAATAATAAATTTCATTTTAGTTGTGTTTAATAGCAAACATGAATCAGAAAGTGTTTCCTGAATTTTATTAAAATTCTGTTACAGCTCATTTATAACTGAGGACAATGAAGTACTTACAGAATACAAAATGATACAATCAGTGGAAAGATAAAGAGCTCCAAGCTACCTGTTCTATATTGTTAGCATAAACGGGGAATAAGATTGGATCAAGATAAGAGTTTTGCAAGACTGCCTTGGTTTTATTCTTAAAAAAAAATAAAATAAAATAAAATTCTATAGCTATCTGTATCTAACATGTAGTTTATTCTGAATGAGGGCTTAATATTGAAGTTCTTAAAAAAATAATGCATGGGCTTCACTTAGCCTTAGGCCTACATGGGCTGTGTTTGGTAGGACTCAATGCAATTAAGGCACATCAATAAAATGAAGTTTCAAGGACTTCAGCATGAGCATACAGCACTTCAACACTAGCTGACAGAGTACCCCACCATATTTTCTGTGATCTATATATATTAGGAAATGTGTGGTCTACAGAAATTTAGTGAGCAAAGCAGCATAATTGTGTTTCTGCAGTAAAAGTTGCATTAATGTCTTTTTCAGTGTTTTGAGTAGGTTTTCAATGGCATCACAATTTCTTTTTTAATGGGTATTGCAATAAGAACAGTCTTTAGAGGTGACTTTTGAACTTTGACTTTCTTGAAAAAAGTGTGTGCTTATGTATATGTAAATGCATGTGTCTGCACATATTCTAATTCTGAAGCTCTGAGGAGAGAACAAGGATGGTATACACTTATCAAATGCCTTCATGTCTTGTTTATGTCTAAGATATCAGAATATTTTGGTTTACCTTCAAAGTAATACAGAGGTCTATTTTTCATAGCCACTGCAGTGTTGACTTTGGCACAGGTGAGGAGAGCAGGTGTTTGTCACCTGCAGCAGTATTTCTAGTTAGTTTGGAGCAAACGGCGTTTAGTACTGGCCAAGATCATGCTGTTAGATCTGTAGGTGAAGAACTTGAAACTATGGCTATAATTTTTTATTGCTGGAACCACTGCATATAAAAATGTTCTTGTCCTTTTCTTGTGACTTTCTACATTTGATTATTATTTTTCACTGTGAGTGCTATTACAAACAAAAGGGGAAAAGTGGAGCAATAAGAGCTGTGATGTATATTATTTAAACTGCAAATTCATTTTATAAAGCCATAAAGGCTAGAAATGTAAGGAATTAAAAAGGCTTCTGTGAGATCTAGGAAGTACTACTATTTGCTTGATGATTCAGTAATTTGCTTTTTTCATCAGTATGTTTTCCTGTTTCCCTTTTCCATACATGTTGTGTGTTCATGGTGTCTCAGGTCATTCACAGTTAGAGATGTGTAAAGTAAACTGCATGCATACACTGTTACCAAAACCTACTGATGACTGCTGCTGGATGATAAGTAGGTGATAACTGTTGGACACTTCTCTCCACTGATAATCTGATAGCCCTGAGAAGATCAATGCAAAAACAACTAATCCTATAAAGGCAAAAATACCCAGGGAAACAAACAAATTTTCAGAAAAAATGATAAATTTGGAGCTAAATGATTCATTTTTCCCATCTTCTAGGGAACATCTGTAAAGTTAATATATTTATTTATTTATTTATTCGGAAATTCTTAGAGTTTTTAGTGACCATTGCAGATGTATAACTGCAAGAACTCAGTGGTGGCAATTCCTAAGAAAAAACAACTGGGCACATTAGCATGGTAACAAGATGTTTCTCTTAGAGACTCTTGAAGTAAAAACTTGCAACAGTTGTCTTACCTGAGTGATTTTGAAAGGCCATAACGTTGAAATGGAGAGCAACAATGCTACTAGCCACTACTCAAGGAAATCTTTCTTGTCTGTGTGTCTGTCTATCTTTCTTTTATACTATTTCAGAAACATTCCATACAAGATCTTTTTCTCTTCCTTTTTGATTTGTTTCACATTTATTTCAGATACTGGGCAGCTGGGAGGGCATTGGGCTGTATTACCTCCAGAGGTTCCTCTCAACTTTAATTACTCTGTGTGTATGTCTGTATGTTTGCATGTATACAACTGTAGGCATACAGGGAATTATCTACTTCAGATATTTATTATTTTATTAAATCTCTTATAGCTTAACAGAGAGGTCTTGTGGTCATCTGAGAGTGACTCTGACAGTTTTCAGAAAATATCTAGTGTGTGCACTAGTGTAACAAACACTCTACAGTAATTGAAATAAGCCTGCATGTTAGGTACTTCTCCATCAAAGTATATTTATTCTTTTTCAGAGTGAACTGGAAAATACTGTTTTGTAGCTAATACATAGCAAGCTTTGTAAATGCAAACTAAGAGGTGGTCTGAATCTAATGTCCTCTTTCTAACATTAGAGCAAGCAGATAAACCCACTCTCTTCATGAGTACCTGTGCATATAGACTTAAATTACAAGCAACATGCATTTTTATTATGGAATAAAAAACTACACCTAGGGGCTGTCCATCTCAGATTTCTTCTCAGATGAAGGAAAAACACACACACACATATATACGCTATATATGTATATAATTCTTATTTTATTTCTTGTTGTAGATATTGGATTATTTGTAGGACTAACCTAAGATTGATTCCAAGTTTAGCATCCGAGTTAGTGGCTTGGATTTTCTGAGGTGGTTGTTGTTACAGCCCCGGGCCCTAGCATAGCAAAAATATTGCCTGTTGGTAGGAACTTGACGCTTAATTAGTTGATCCCTACTGTAAATATCTTTTAAATGCAAAAAGCTTCAAAGAAAGACTAAGGATTGGTAAAGATCGGTTAATGAGTAAATAAACCCAACTAGCCCCAAATATGCCTTAGCTGTGTATCTGTGTCCACCATTAATTTCTGTCCCTGACAATTCACTCATGGGTGATTGCTGACAGCAATACTTTATTTGTCAAAGCTCCAGATCTTAATATAGTTCTTGAATTCACACCATTATAACTTTTATCCTTTAAATACAATTGAGTGCAAGTTCATTCATTTATTATGTATAAAAGATTATTCCTGTTCTAGGAATTTAAAAAATAATAGTATTGATTCACTTCAATCTGCATAAATGCAGAACTTTTTATCATTATAGAATCAATCCTACCTGCTAGAAATATATTTAAGAGTCAGAAAATGAAGTAAGCCATCTA